TCCCTGTTTGTTATTAGCTAGGCCTATAGTACAAGGAACTGGTTCCCTACATCCCCATGCTGTGGGTCTTGAATCTGATTACAGGGCAGTTGGTTACCATCAAAATAGAGAAGTTCATATTGCATATGTGGGCACATCTGGCTTTTCACATGGTTCCTGTATGCTATTTTTATGTCAGTTAATTCTTCAACCTACACCCTCAGCTTTCAGCCCCCTGCCTTCTTACTGCCTAAACCTTTCTACTTCGGTATTCCCTTTCTTTCCTGCCCATGATTTGCTATTCCTCCACCTTGGAGGTAATTTCTGCTGTCTCTTGTATTTTCCTGGCTTCCAAAGTTACTCCATGTCATACATAGAAAAACATACATTCACATAGCTAGGATTGCCATATGAGAGAGAATATGAGGTTTTGTGTTTGGAGTTCTGGGCTATCTCACTCAGAAAAAAAATAAAATAAAATTCCCATGTTATCTATTTTCCTGAAAATTTCATATATATGTATATATATATATATATATATATATATATATATATATATATATATGTGTATATGTGTGTGTGTATTTGTAAGTGTATATGTATATGTAGCACATCTTTCTTATCTATTCACCAGTTGATGTGCAGCTAGGCTGCTTCCATTTCTTAGCTACTGTGAATATGACAGCAATCAACATGAATGTGGAGATATCCATATAAGAGATTAGAGTCCTTTGGATACATGCCCAGGAATAACTTAGCTGGAACTGTGGTAGTTTCATTTTGTCAGGATGTTGGTGGTGGTGCTAGTGGTGGTAGTAGTGTTTTTTGAGAAACTTCCAGACTGCTTTCCAGTTTAGCTTCACCTAGCTTACATTCCAAAGAACAAAGTAAAGGTTTCCTCTTTCTATTCATCCATGCTAGTATTGTTTTTTTTTTTTTTGCCATTCTTGATGATGGCCATTGTACTATAGTAAAATGAATCTTAAAGTGGCTTTAGTCTGGATTTCCCTTGTGGTTAAGGTTGCTGAAAACTTTTAAAGTCTTCCTTTCTAGCCCTTTATGTTTATTCTCTTTGGAGCTTTTTGCTTGCTTCTGTTGTAGTAGGTTTTCAATTGTTTTTTTCTTTATTTTTAATTCTCTTTTACCATTGTAAATTATATTGAGAATTTATATTGTACACAATATGATCACATATATTCCCCACTCCTCCCACCAAGCTCCCGCCATGTACTACTTGATAAAGCCCTTCTCAACTTGATGACATAGAAGACAGAGAAGAGCTCCAGGCCAAAGTCATGGATAACACTCTCATTAAACACATAGAATAAAAATTCCCAAGCACAAAGAAGGAGATACTCATCCAAGTACCCAGGCTAGAGTAATGTCAAAGAATTGAAAATTTGTATGATGTATTATGATCACAATGCTAAAACTAAAAAGGCTAAAGTTGCTGAAAGCTTCAAGAGAGAAGGGCCGAGTCACAACACAGGCAGACACATCACAGTAATAGTAGCTACTTACTTGATGGAGACATTTAAAGCCAGAGTTGATTTCTTCTTATGACCCACAAGTCTAATTAGTGCTTCCCATTTGTGCATGGGTGTGGGTTCATCCACTAGAGGAGGGGTTCTCAGCATTTTTAATGTTGTAATCCTCATGTTGTGATGACCCAAAACCATAAAATTATTTCATTGCTACTCCATAACTTCAGTTTTGCTATGGTTATAAATCATAATCATAAATATCTGATATGCAGGATTCTGATATGTGACCCTGTGAAAGAGCCATTTGACTCCTAGAGATGTCAGGACCCTCAGGTTGAGAACCAATGCAGTACAGTATGGGAAACATCCCAGTAGACACCAGTGATTATGTCTTTCCCAGAAACCAATAGCTCTTTGGAGGTGACCTATCACATCTCAGGTACAGAAGGCCACCCTTAATAGTTAATCAGTGTTGGAAATGGGATAAATTAAGATATGTTTAACATAGTTCCTCAAGCTCTGGTATATTCTCTCACCCAGGCAAGATCTTTTCTTGCCACTTCCAACCTCTGTTTCCTTATCACAGTGTTACCTTGTACTTTGTCTTTTCTGCCAGATATCTAAGCTGAGTCCACTTTCAATTTTATATCACATTGCTCCTCTACTTGGGTGATTTTTCCTACCCCATTATGATCCCTGCCTTCCCCACCTCTAGAAAGATATCACAAGCCTATTTTAATCCAAGACTCACCACTCCCTAAGATTGATATGGGCCTTGACTAGACTTGTATCTGATAGGACACCTTTCCCTAGTCCCCACATTTCCAGCCAGGGTTTCATCCTTTGAGATATCCCAAGATGCCTAGTTTAAGTACACCTTACTTTTCTAGACTAGTGGGGTAAAATTTCACTAAATAACAGGCAATCGTCTAAATTAAAATATTCACTTCATATCACAAAAAATATATAAAATGTGCCTACCTTCTACATAACCAATTTTTTAGCAATGTTCCCTAAGGAGTAAAACTCAGATGAAATCCAAGTCACAAAACTCTGAAAGTCTATGAAAAGATGAAACTTATAAATTCTGTGTAAGTGCCAACTCAGATCCTTATATTCCACAAAAGTATACTAAAATTGAAGATGACATAAGAACTTTTGGTGATAACAATCCATTAGAATAGTACTGACTTCTCAATGGAGACTCTGAAAACCAGAAGGCCTAGATAGATGTTCTACAAGCTCTAAGAGACCACAGATGTAAACCTAGACTATTCTACTCAGCAACACTATCCATCACAGTTGATGGAGAAAGAAAAACATGTCCTGATAAAAATCAACCTAAGCAACTTCTATCTATCCATCCATCCAGCCTTAGGGAAGGCATTAGAAGAAAAATTTCAAACTGAAAGTGTCAACCACACTCAAGAAAATGCAAGAAATAATAAACAATGTAAACTAGTAAGTCACAGGCATCATGGCATGAGTTGCGTGAGACTCACAACAAAACAACAGAATAACAGGAATCAACAAACACTGCTCCTTGATAACTGTCCAATAATAATGGTCTCAATTCTCAATGAAAGCACTAAGAGAATGGATGAGAAATCAGCATTCATTCTATGACTGCATCCAAGAAACATGCATCAACACCATGAACAGAGCTCACCTTAGGTTACAAGATTACAAAGTAGTATTCCAAGCAAAAGGATCCAGGTAGCCAACAGATGTGGCTATTTTAATATACAGCAAAACAGACTTTAAACCAAAATTGATCAGAAGGAATAGGTAAGAATACTACATACTCATTAAAAAATCCACCAAAGGAACATCTCAGTTCTAAGCATGTATACACCAAACCCAAAGACACTAAAGTTCATAAAAGAAACTCTCCTAATACTAAAATCAGAATGGATTTCACATAATAATAGTGTCACTTCAGTACCTTACCCTTGCCAACAGACATGTAGGTCTGATCAGTACAAAAAGTAAAGAAAAAATGTGGGACTTAATTAATATAATATAGTAAATTGACATAACAGGAATCTACAGAACATTCATCTGAAACACTACAGAAGGTGCTTCCTTTTAAGTAACCCAAAGTTTCTACAGGGAAGACTTTTCTGGATGATTGTGTTGATGCATGATAAAAGCAGGAATGTGGGGTGTCCTGGGTGTACTACATGAGGTTAACTTTCCTCTGAAAAGTACAACTCTTAAACTGGGGAGATGTTCTGGATAAGTGGTGCCTCTACACAGACTAGGACCTTCATTCCACCACCTTTGAGAAGAAGCCTTGGTTGATCAGCCATCACGTGGTCTAATCCATAAGGATATAAAGATTATACCACTTTGCTTCTCTAATTCCAAAGGAGTGAGGATAGAGAAAGAAGGTGGGAGACAGAGAATCCCAAAATCATATTTGAAGACACATGGATTTTTTTATCCTGAAGAGGTAACAGAGGAATCCCTAGTAGGCCCCCCATTTAGGAGGTATCCAGTCTACTTGATCCCACAGGAAGGAGTACAGGTTATATAGAGTGAGTCCAGGGTCTCTGCCTCAGTCACATTGGTTTAGGACAGCATAAGTTCCACTGGCAGCAATGGTATGTTAAATGAGCCTCATGGAGGCATGTGAAAAGGTCTGTTTGTGCTAGTGTAGCTCCTCAACAGCCTACCAGAAAACCATTAGTAGAATTAATTATAAATTAATGACATACACTTACTGCAAGTGTTCTCAAACTGAGGGTCACGATCCCTTTAGGGATCAAATTTCAGATATCATGCATGTTAGATATTTTACATTAAATTTCATAACTGTAGTATACTTATTAAGGAGCAATGAAATACATCTAAGGCTGAGGTCATCACATTATGAGGAACTGTATTAAAGGATCACACTATTACTTTGGGATCCACTGACTTAATTACAGTCTTGGTCATGCCCTACATGCTGTGTATTCAACACACTCTCCCCACACCTTCATCCTTCACAGCCACATTCTCTCATCTCCTACGTATTTGAATAAAGATGAGATGCCCTCACACTGGTCAATACAAACAATGGCCTTCATGCTAAATCAGCCCAACATTTGTTTTAGTAAATAAAATGTACTCCCTCTCACCCATATGTTCATACTCTACAGATGCCTGTGTTTGTGCTACAATGACAGAGGTGAGACTTTACACATATGCAGCATGGGTCTCAAAGCTTACAGTAATACCTGGATGCTTAGAAGAACAGTTCCATGATCTTTGACCAAGGCTACCATCCCTTTCTGTTGCTCTCAGGCCTCCTAGGAGCTGCCTTGAGGGGTGCATTTGTGACCTTATCCTGGGATCCAGGAGACTCAGAATCTGGCCACTGATTCCACACCACCAGAGAGCAGTCATGTGGATTTTTGATAAGGAAAATAAAGCTGGTCCAAACCAGATCTGTGGTTTTTAGCCCTTCCTTTCTCCTACTTTGGAGCTATAAAAGCAGGAACCCAGACAGGACCACATCAGAAGCTCATCTCAGGCAACACCACTGGCAAAATGCAGGTCCTACTGTTCCTGATAGTACTTCTCTTGCCTTCAGGAGCTGGAGCTGGTGAGTTTTGTCTTCATCTCCTTAACTTCTTAGTTTCGGCAGTGGACCATAATCTCTTATCTTGCATAACAGAGATCCTAACATAAGGCAGGATCCTAAATTAGGGAGGTCCAGGGGAAATCTGTAGGTCAAGGAATAATATAAAACATTTTTCCCTTTACAACATTTCATCAAATTACTCTGTTCTGATAGGCAGCTCTTCCTTTAGGTTTGAAGAACTGTCTGATAAAGTAGAAAGTCAGAAACATGAATGACAATATTGTTTTGAATGAAGGATGATTGTGGACAGGTCACATTGGGAAGGAAAGATCAAGAGGAGAGAGAGAAAAAAACCAAATGTCATGTGGAGGGTCCTGAACTACATGCAAGATGGGGTGGGCTTGAAGCAGTTGCTCAACTTTGGCCCCATCTTCCCTTGCTAGTGCGTTGTTGGAGTGTTCCATAAGTTTGTGACCAGGTACTGGGGGTTCTTTGTTCCAGAGGAGATTATTGGTGGTGTTGAGGTTAAACCACACTCTCGCCCTTATATGGCCTATCTGAAGATCATCCCTTACCATGGTCGCCCATACAGCTGTGGTGGGTTTCTCATAACCCTTCAATTTGTGCTGACTGCGGCACACTGCAAAGGAAGGTAAGAGGCTTTTCTTCCTGTTAGGAAATGCAGAAGCCAGAGTCACAGAGCAGCAGAGACCTGAGGAAGGCCATGATCCCTGTTCATCTCTAGAGGGGCTCTCCTGACACTGAGAGTAAAAAGGGAGCACAAGGCCACTCACTATACCATCTCATGTGTCTTCTCCATTTTCAGATGTCTTAGCTTTAAATATGGCTCTAGTCATGAAAAAGTACAGTTCTTCTCTTGCTGTGGTGTCACCAGAGCTCACACATAGGCTGGGGTGTAAGTCAGTGCAGAGGGCTCATCAGTTATGGGGAAAGCCATGGTTTCAATCCAAGTACTGAGGGTGGGATATGGGAAGAGTTTTCAGTCCTGTGTTTTGCTGATCCACATCCTTCTGGCAAGGCTGTAGACCTGGGAGGTCTATTCATGTCTCTCTATTCTCTGTACTGGGACAAAACAGACCCTGTTGCCTTCTCCTTGGAAGGAGTCTTCCTAAGACCAGCATGTCTCACTGCTTCTTTATTTTTCAACAGAGAAATCACTGTCATCCTCGGAGCTCATAATGTCAGCAAGACAGAATCTACACAGCAAAAGATAAAAGTTGAAAAACAAATTCCTCACCAATGTTTTGATGGGACATTTGGTTTCAATGACATCATGCTACTGAAGGTGTCCTTAGTTTTCCTGCTCTGCTTAAGTCTCCCATCCTTATCTTTCCTCCTGTAAATTCTTTCCTGTCAAAAGTATTTCCTCAGAACCCACTCCTGAGTTTCCAATGGAAAGGGCCCATGTCTAAGCATCTGTCTTTTGTTTGACATCTCTTCTCTCCTTCCCCCAACAGCTTGAAGAGCAAGCTGAGTTGACTCCTGCTGTGGATGTAATTCCCCTGCCTGGTCCCTATGACTCTATCAAGCCTGGGGACATGTGCTGGGCAGCAGGCTGGGGGAAAACTGGAGTGACAGAACGTGCTTCAGATACCCTGAGGGAGGTGGAACTGAGAATCATGGATAAAGAGGCCTGTGTAAAACATGAGTGTTATGACGATAACAGCCAGGTCTGCGTAGGCAGTCCCACAGTGTTAAAATCCATATACTGTGTGAGTACACATCTGTTTTTTCTCACTACGTCATGAACCAGCATTAGTGGAGGAAGTATGCCAAACAGCTCTTCATGGCACTGACTAATGCCTGTGTTCCTATGCTTCTAGCCTTGAGAATTTGGGAAATGAAATCTTTCTCTCTGTCTCATTTCCCTGTGCCCAAGCCCTTCCTGCCACCTTCTCATGAGGCTAGATATGAGACAGGAAGGAAGTAAAGGGAGTCATGTTAGCAGCGGGTTAAGCACAGGGAGGAGGGGGAATTAGCCATTAAATCCCTAATTTAGGAATAATACTGAACCAGGACTTCTTATTCAATCTGGGAGTAGCTATTTTAGGGGGGTTAAAGTTGGGGGAAAGCAATCTTTGCTCATAGTATGACTTTTCTCACCTACAGGGAGACTCTGGGGGACCTCTAGTGTGTGCTGGTGTGGCCCATGGTATTGTATCTTACAATAAGCCTGGAGATGAAAAGCCTCCTGCAGTCTTCACCCAAATCTCCTCATACATGCTCTGGATTAACCATGTCTTAAAGGGCAAGTAGCTAAAAAGCCTGAGCAGCAATCTCCAAGACTGAGTTTACCTGGTACCCCATGAGTTCAACAGAGCCATCACCAGCTTGTCCCCAGCCTGCCCTCAACCTGCCCCCAGCCTGCTTCTGGCCTATCCCCAAGACATTCTCAAAGATAAACAAATCTGTGATGATAGATTATTCCCTGTAATGTACCTCAATAAAGACATAATCTCTTGTACCTGTGTGACTCCAGGCTGTGCTCTAAACACTCAGCACCTCTCTAAGCACAATGAAGAGTTGATTTGAGCTACTATCTTGACATTTTAACAATCTTGAGCACAGACTTCCTGGCACAGGTGTGACACTGTGGATGACTCAATATTATCCAACATGCATGGGTGTTTACAGTAAGATTTCATATTCAGAGTAGTGTGCACTGTTCTGTTCTTCTCCTCCACTGTCGTTTCTTCTCCCTCCATGTTTCTCAGCTCTTCTCCCCACAAACCCCATGCCATAGCCACTGTGTCTTTCCACACATCATAGGAAATTCCATGTCTAAGTCATTTGTTGTTGACAGCTTGTGTTCTCAACACTCATGCTGCTGTCTCCATCTGAGCTCTCAATAATGGACCTGAAGCTAGAGGAGAGCCTGCCCTCAGAAGTCCTTGGACCATGACTGTGGCTGCAGCAGGCACCACAGGAGAGCATCAGCACTTTCTGAAGGGAAACAGGGCAGAATTAGTCATTGTTGGAAAGAGATCTTTCAGTACTTGGCATGAAGCAGTACTTCCCATGGTGGCTCTAGACCTGCTTCTTTGCCACTCAAATGTAACAACCTTTCAGAAGAATATCATGGTTAGTTGAACTTCTAAGCGGCCTGCTTTACTCTTACAAGCCAAAGCCCCCATTGTCTTTAGTCAAGGGAAAGAACACACTAGCTTCAGGGTACTGTGGATTCTGAAATGGAAGAGACCACATGAGAGGTCTGCTATGCCCTAAGTAGGCCTAGCACAGTGAATGTGGCCCTCTGACTACTGTACCATGAAGACCTGCTGCCAGTAGCACCCCTAGGCTAGGACATCAGCACCTCAGCTCTCCTCACAGTCTGGCAGCCTTGTGTCTAGCTTTCCAGCTTCAGCACTCTTCAGTAGAGATGTAAAGATAGCTATCAAATACAAAACTGACTATAAGTTCTTGACTAACTCTATGGGGTCAGGGAGCATATATGGTTTTAAATAACCTAAAAGGATCTTTAAAAAATAGAGAATCCATGTTGGATTATGGTTACCTGTGTGATCATCATTTTCTTTTTTCTTTTTAAATTTTGTTTATAGTTGTCTCACTAAATCATAGGGTCTTTTCTCATTTTGACTAAGATTGGTGTGGTTTGGGCACAGTCTCACCATGTGGATCAGACTTGACATCTAACTTATGATCCATATGCCTCTGCTTCCCTCATGATGGGACACTCACTAGCATGAGTGGTGGCTGGTGCATGCTCCACCACTCTTGGCCTACACAAAGGTCTCAAACCCTGAAAAACAAAGCAAAGACAGGAGCTGTGTCTTTTTTTAACAAATGGGAATACTCACTAACTTGCAGCTGAGGGCACACTGCCTCTTTACCCCATACTCTAAGAAGGACATGTACTTGGGACAGTCTTCTTCCATGAAGCTGGGCAAGTAGAGGTGAGGAGAGAGTGACTGTCCCACCCTGCAGCCTGGCCTACAGTAACAGGGGAGCAGGGGGAGACTCCTGAGAGCTCAGTTGAGGACACAGGCTGAATGACTTCCAGAAAGCTAACCTCTACAGAGCAAATCCCATTACATAGTCCCTGGGTGTCAAAGGAACAATTGATCACCCAAAGGCTCCAAAGTAATGGCCACAGTGTTCATTCATATGCATGGTGGATTATACACAGGAGGAGCAGACCCAGTGTACTCTCGGAACAAGAGTGACTATGGTCTCACAAAGAAGCAAAGGAAACATGCAGATGAGAAGGTTCGTCCTTTGGGGAGTGCATTAGCAGTGCTGGGCAGCCTAGCTTAATAAAGCCTCTCAGTGCACTGTTACCAGCAGATACACACTGAGGGTGTCCAAAGGGAAGATCAGCTCAGCCAATCATAGATGAAGAAAGCATCCAAGGTCAGCAGATGCTCACCCAAGCTTTGCAAAAGTGGAAGCCAACCCAGAAGTCAGAGAATATGGGTAAGACTTTAGTCCACAGTAATTGCAAATGAGAGGAATGATCAGGTCTAAGTGCTAAACAATGAGTAAAGGAGATTTACTTTCATATAACAAACATCCTTATAATGAGGAGAATCCAGTCTCTGGTGAGCCAGCATTATTACTATCCTGTCACAGGTGTTCACACCTGATTCCATCTGTTCTCCTTCCATTCGTGGAATCTTTTTATCAATTAACTTGTAAATAGGTAATTTTAGTAGGCCTAGAATCATTTTTAAGAAGGAATGAATATGATTTTGTGTCTAAACAGTTCTCCAATGACACAGTTGGTGAGTGAGGGGAATCTTTATGGTAGACTGCTTATATTATATATCTTTCATTGCTTTTTTTTATGAGGAAGGAGTTTATTTCATTTTATACCTTACAGTACATTATGAATGATATTCAGGACAGGAAATGAAACATGAACTTGGATGCAGGCACTGAAGAAGAGGCCATGAAGGAATACAATTACTATCTGGCGCAGACTGATTTCTTATTCCACCTGTTCAGAAATGGCACTTGCAATAGTAAGTCATCAGTTAAGAAAATACTCAATGATCTTTTGCCTACTAGACAATCTGATGAAGACATTTTCTCAAGTGAAGTTTTCTTTTTCAATTTTCCTCCTGTTAGACTATATTTGATAAAAAACAAAGAAGGAACAAAACAAAGAAAGAAGGAAAGAAAGAAAGAGAAAGAAGGCAGCAAGGAAGAAAGGAATAAAGGAAGGAAGGAAGATTTTCTTAAAGAACCAGTTCCTGGTTTTGTTGACTCTTTGTATAATTCTTTTTGTTTCTACTTGGTTAACTTCAGCCCTGAGTTTGATTATTTCCTTCCACCTACTCCTCTTGTGAGTTTTTGCATCTTTTTGTTCTAGAGATTTCAGATATGCTGTTAAGCTGGTAGTGTATGCTCTCTCCAGTTTCTTTTTGGAGGCACTCAGAGCTATGAGTTTTCTTTTTACCACTGCTTTCATTGTGTGCCATACGTTTAGGTATATTGTGCCTTCATTTTCACTAAATTTTAAAAAGTTTTAAATTTCTTTATTTCTTCCTTGACCAAGTTATGATTGAGTAGGATGTTGTTCAGCTTCCATGTGTATGTGGGCTTTCTGTTGTTTTTGTTGTTATTGAAGACTTGTCTTAATCCATGGTGATCTGATAGATTCCATGGGAATCTAAGATTATTTCAGTCTTCTTGTATCTGTTGAAGCCTGTTTTGTGACAGATTATATGGTCATTTTTGAAGAAGGTATCGTGAAGTGCTGATAAGAATGCATATTCTTTTGTTTGTTTGTTTCTTTTTGGGTGAAATGTTCTATAGATATCTGTTAAATTCATTTGGTTTATCACTTCTGTTAGTTTTATTGTGTCTCTGTTTAGTTTCTGTTTCCATGATCTGTCCATTTCTGAGAGTGGGGTGTTGAAGTCTCCCACTATTATTGTGTGAGGTGCAATGTGAGCTTTGAGCTTTAGTAAAGTTTCTTTTATGGATGTGGTTGCCCTTGCATTTGGAGCATAGATGTTCAGAATTGAGAATTCTTCTTGTTAGATTTTTCCTTTGATGTATGTGAAGTGTTGTTCCTTATCTTTTTTGATAAATTTTGGTTGAAAGTCGATTTTATTGAATATTAGAATGGCTACTCCAGTTTATTTCTTGGGACCACTTAATTGGAAAATTGTTTTCCAGCCCTTTACTGTGAGGTAGTGCCTTTCTTTGACACTGGGGTGTGTTTCCTGTATGCAGCAAAATGTTGGATCCTGTTTATGTATTCAGCCTGTTAGTCTATGTCTTTTTATTGGAGAATTGAGTTCATTGATGTTAAGAGATATTAATGAATAGTGATTGTTTCTTCTTATTATTTTTGTTGTTAGAGGTGTAATTATGTTTGTTTGTCTATCTTCTTTTGGATTTGTTGAAAGATTACTTTCTTACTTTTTCTAGTTTTTTTCCTTGTGTTGGAATTTTTTGTTTATTATCTTTTGTAGGGCTGGATTTGTGGAAAGATATTGTGTAAATTTGATTTTGTCATCGAATATCTTAGTTTCTCCATCTATGGTAATTAAGACTTTTGCTGGTATAGTAGCCTGAGCTGGCATTTGTATTTTCTTTCGGTCTGTCTGATAAGTACATAGGATCTTCCAACTTTCATAATCTCTGGTGAGAAGTCTGGTGTAATTCTGAAAGGTCTGCCTTCATGTGTACTTGAATTTTTTTCTTACTGCTTTTAATATTCTTTCTTTGTTTTGTGCATTTGGTGTTTTGAGTATTATGTGATGGGAGAAATTTCTTTTCTGGTCCAGTCTAATTGAGTTCTGTAGGCTTCTTGTATGTTTATGGGCATCCCTTTCTTTAGGTTAGGGAAGTTTTCTTATATAATTTTGTTGAAGATATTTACTTGCCCTTTAAGTTGACAATCTTTGCTCTCTTCTATTCCTATTATCCTTAGATTTGGTCTTCTCATTGTGTGCTGGGTTTACTGGATGTTTTGTATTAGGAGATTTTTGCATTTTGCATTTTCAGGGGACAGACCACTATGACTCTGCCTATGATTCACTTGTCTTTATCTAAGTTGGTACTATCCACCGAGGTTGCCCATCTACAAGGCCTATGAGTACCCAGGCTTGGCAGCCTTCCACCAGAGCTGCTGTTTACAATAACTCCCAGCTATCTGTTTCAGTGTTTTTCCACAGAGACCCAAGACTTGGTGAGAACAGGCATGTATGTCAGGCCTATTACTGATTTTAGGCCTATGGCTGATTTTAGGCCTTTAGTGTATAAGCAGGGCTGCTCCCGACATAGAAAGAGGGAAAAAGAGAAATATTAAAGAAAGAATGGGTATAATTTCTTTTTTAAGTTTGCCATACAGACCTTGCCTACCCAGGAATACACTTAGTTTTCCTTTGTTTATATCCATCTCTTTGCATGTTTCTTAAGTATCTTTTTGTTTCTGCCTGTTCCTTTATACCACACCCTAGCCCCTAATACTCTCTTCCAAATCTTAAGTAATTTAAGGTGTTAATCAGATTGTTATACACAAGGGAAAAGAGAGCAGCTGAGAGAGGAGAATCACATTGCAGTCTAGAATCTGGGTCTTTATTGAGGCTTATAAAGATGGTGAATTTTAGGAACATTCTATGGCTTGTAAGAACTTTCTGGAAGCTCAGGCATCTGGCAGGACTTCAGCAGGAACTACAGACAGGCCAGATTACATGGCACAGAAAACCTGGAGTATTCCAGTTTCAGATTTCCTCACTCATTGACCCTGAGCTTCAGAGTTAATTCTCCCTCAAGATCTTATTGATCCATGGCCTGTAATGGGAGATTCTGGTGAAGACAGCAGAGGGATTTGCATTCTGATGTACATAGAAATCAATGCCTTGGGCTATCCCATCACATGGTAGAAGTTCTCTAGATTCTCCCTCTTATGGACAAGGCAGAGAGGAAACACAGAAATGATAGGAAGGAGCCTCTACCCCTACCCACCCACTTCAGCTTACAGTTAGGTCTGGAGCCTGATGCCACATCTTAGTTTTGGGATCAGCCAACCTATCTTCCTCATATCACCCCATGTTCTCTGCACAGCTGACTGAGTAATCCAAGATAGACTTGGAATATGGATACTTTGTTTCCTTACTCGGTGATTCCTAAACACTGTGATTAACTGACAGTCTTCTGCCTAGAAGGGTACCTTTTAAGAACTCTGGTTCCCAGGAGGGCTTTTAGAAAACTCTGGTAAGAGGATCACCTTGTATACATTTTGCATCTTCTTGTGGTTTCCCACAAGAGGCTGGGAATTGTATTCAAAACTCGTGAAGTGTTTTCAGTCTCATTTTTACTTCTTACAGTGTTTCTGAGGCTGGTTCATTCATATTGGTTCTGCTCCAGCCAACTGTTCTGCATGTTCTCCCAAGTGGGATGAAGTTGAAATTGGCAGAGAGTAGGAGGGTTCCCACACCCAGGATTAGCTTGGCTTTCTCCTTCAACTGTGAAGGGAATGAGGGACTCTTAGCCAGGGCCATGGGCTAGGGGTTAGTTCCAGGCAATTAGGGGTGGGAAGGGCAAAGTACCAAGTCCAACAGGGAAATAAGAGGGAATGAGGTCCACATCAGGCCAGGGGAAATTCAGGGCAATGTGGACCGGAAGAAAAAATCTGAAGGCGTACAATCGGGGGACAAACTTGTTACCTTCAGTAGCATGATGTAATGGAGAATCAAATAGTCATTGTATTTTGGATGAAGGAATTGCTTTTCAAACTCAAGCCTCTGCCATGTGTCTTCTTTAGATGTTTTGTTATGGGCTCCTAGGAGGACTTTTATAGACATATTGAGAGAAACCATGGGGTCTGAGCATGTTGCTATTGGTAGAGCGCTTGCCTAGCAAACGTGTGAAAAAAAATCTCATGGGGTGGTGTTCCAGAACCTCGCAGCAGTGTCCCATGGGGTGGGTTGGGGTGGGGGGCAGAGGACCCATGGATAGGGTTAATACTCCCCAATTTGGAGAACTTTGAATGGGGCCCATTTGCTACAGCAAGAACTATTCAGAAAAGCAGGAAGTAGAAAGTGTCCTGTAGGCTTGTTCTGTTTACCTTAGAAATGGTGGGCCATGGACATTGGAACCAAAGGCCAGTGATCTTGAAGATAGCAAGGAGATACCCCCAGAAAAGTACTGGGTAGATCCTGAGAAATGAGCTATGGGTGTCCTCCATGTTTAAAGGTGTATGGATGGGTCACATTGGAGAAATCTCTCTTGCCTCTGAGGGGAACTGCATTTGTAGTGATTGAGCTCAGAGTATGTGTTTAATGACATCTCTCTTGTCAGCTGACCCAGGCTCAGGATCTCTCTCAGGTTCATCTGCCTGTGTCATAGGTTGCTACCCCAAGGTTTTTCTCATATTAAGGATAAGCAGCATCTTGTCTCACCTTCCTGCACAGTGAGCTGCAGTCAGCACAAAGTTTCGTCTTATCAGGAAGCCACTGCTGGTGGTCAGGTAATTTTCAGAACTGACAATTTCCAGATAGGCCATGTAGGGACAGGAGTGTGGTATGCATTTTGTGACCCAATGATCTCCCCCCATGACCAGAACAGACATGGATTCTTTCTCCCGAGAGTGCACAGTTGGATTAAGGTGGAGTGAGGCTTCCCTTGACTTCCTTGCCCTAAACTCTGCCCATGGTTCTCTCAGGCATCTTTGTCAGCTCCTCTCTCCCGTCCTCCTCTACAGCATCCTTTCTTTCTTAAGAATCCAATCCCGCCTTAGATTTAGGCAGTTTCCTACTTCTAATATTTTATATTCTTGCTTGTCCCTGGCCCATTTTCCCCTCCTGCAGCACGTGTTGTCCAGGTTCTCCCACAGATCTTCTTCCTTTGATCTTTTTCCCAAGGACCAGTAAATTAAGAGAGTATGCCTATTATCCTGGAATCTGTCTTTCTCCCAGTGGCTTTAGGATTCCCTGCTCAGTCAGCACAAGCTTTTGTGTTACTAGAAGCTACCACAGCTTTAAAGAATGAGGCAGGAACATTCCATAAGAAGACTTCACTCTGAAGCTATTCAGAATACCTATAAGACCTATTTAAGAGTCCCAAATGACACACTAAAATTTGTTATTTTAGGAGCTAGCTTGCAGATTGGAGAGAGATGAACCCCAGTACTCACCAGCTTTGGTGCTGGATCCTTGGAGAAGGAGTACCTGATCGAGAGCAAGAAGATGCATCCTCTCAGAGGATTTGCTCAGGACCGCTGCATGCTTTATCTCTGGGTCTTAGGCATCATGACTCCCAGCAGGCAGGGGAGTGGCAGAGCTGTTACCACAGGAACTGTGTGGTCATGGTTTCTTCTTTCAGTTGGCTTGTGTTGATAACTGGACACTCCCCCAGAATAACACTGTTTACTAGAGGTGAAATTGAAGCCTGTACTCTTATGTCCCATGTACTCAGATGGGGCCTCATCTGTGTCTCTGTGTGGGTTAGGAGTGTGGGGACAGAATATCATGAGATCTTACCTTTCTAGTTAAGGCAACTTGTTAAAGGTCCCTAGAATCTTGGGTTGAGGAATATCTTTGCAGTGAGTATCCAGGCTGTGATTACTACAGTCCACAGTAGGAAATATGCTTTGCAGAAAAACTCTATGGATATATACATGTATAGACATGTACATGGGTTGAGTTATAAAATAGATATCACCATACTTTGCTGTATGGAAATTTCAAAAAATAAAAAATATATAATATACCTAATTGGTTTTCATTCTATTTTATTACACTATCCAGTAAAACTTGAACAGCATTTTTCTTAAATAAGAATTATCTGAAATGTAAAACATATTAACTTGCATTTATTTTTCTTGGAGCCTATGTTTATTGTCTGAAGAAGAGAGAGAGAAAGAAAAAAACAGATACTAAAGGAAGAAGCCAAGTCTAGGACAGGAGCCGAAGGATATCAACCTGGGAGTAAAGAGGTGGTAGGACCATTTTCTCAGACTGTGTATGCAATTTAGTGTCATTCCATTAGATACATTGTTACTTTCATAGCAACACTATCAAATTCTTACTATTGTTTCAATTTGTTGATCTGACCTTTAGCTCTTATGTTTTAGAATCATATCATTCTGATTTCAAATTAAGGGTCATTTCCCTCAACCATCCAAGGGAAAGGGTCTTGATAAGTGTGAATGGAGGGTTAGGGTTAGGGGTACGGGGTAAGCAATTTGCTCCAGAAGGCTGGGGTGCTTCTAAACTACAAACTACCACATCAGTGTCTGAGAGTTAACACTTTTTCTTTTTTGTTAAAACTACCTTGTAAAATAACAATGAGATCATGATCATTCTGCCTTTAACTGTTAAACAAATTTTAAGTATCGGCTCAGTGCTTCCCTGGACTTAGAAGAAGGAGTGTAATGAAGAGAAGGACGCACAGCGCAGTGCCATTTCCCTTGGAGACCTACAGGAGGATTTAGATCATAGGTGGAAATTGAACTTCGAGTCCTGTTTTCATTTGCTAGTGCTGAGAACTGTCCTCTGACACTGAATCACTAGCTGGGAAAAGATGATCTGGACCTGGAAAAGTCTTGTCTGGTGGCTCTGTATCAGTGAGACCAAGCCCCAGAACCCAAGGCAAGGATTTTCTCTTGTGTAGTTGAAAATGGACAGTTAGTCATATAGAACTAATGTGCTGTCTCTACAACACCATGGCTCAGTTCCACCAGCGTTGCGTTGTTTCTTGGCTTGGCTGATGGTGAGGGAGGAGATAAGGTTCAGTCCCCAGCAGGGAATCAACCTCAAAATCACTGACCTCATGATTTTCCTGGATTCTCTTTATCTCCTACATTTTCCCAGATTTCTGCTTTCTCTGAAGCCTCCCTTGTCTGCTTTATATGTTGTATACTGAAGAGTTCAATTATGGTTTGAAGAGCACAAAGACAGGAGTGTGGCTAGTTAGAAAGCAATGGGGGTCAGTATTAGGTCCAGCCTTTACTTAAAGGCAGTGAGTGATGAAACTTGTTGTTTCATTGTCTCAGGGAAGTCATGTCATGTACCCTTCTCATGGCTACAGTTTGAGGCCACAGTTCATGATGGAAAAACATTGTAGCAGGATTGGGAAGGGTGAATCACACTTCATCAGCAGACAGGAAGTGCCTCTAATATAATCCTTCATGAAGAGCCTTCAGCAAACAATTTCCTTCCAAGATGTTGCATGTCTTAGGATTCTACAACCTTCCAAAGGCAGTGCAAATACCTGGGGACCCAATGTTCTAAGACATGAGCCACAAAAAAACTGTTCAAAATGTTTGAGTAATTCACAGTGTAATATTTTATACAGAATATATTCAAAATTTCAATCATCTACATTGTTGTAAGGTTGTTGAAAAATTAGACTCTCACAATATGTTATAGAGTGCATGCAGCTCTGGTAGGGACAGCTACCAGGTTAGCCTTGGTTAGCCTTGACCTTCATATGTAGATGAGGCCATGCCTTGAATCCTGCTTCTCCTACCTCTGCCTCCCAAGTGTTAGCATTGCCTGCATGTACTACTGTGTCAAGTTTAGAATTTTTTTCTTAGAAAATAATTTAGTAATGTGGTACTAGAGGAAATTATCATGTTCAAGATATATTCTGTGTTCAAGACATTTTCTATGCTAACATTTAGTAGCTTTACATCACAGGATGAAAAGCATAGTGGTGCCCTCTGTACTCCCCAGTACCTTGGAGAATGAGGTAAGAGTATGGTGCTTGTTCAAGACCTTATAGAAAACAAATCAGAATGAAACAGAACTCAAAAATTTTTAATGCTTTAAATGACACAAAATTATATTCTTTCCTTCATAAAAATGTTTCTAGACCTACTAAAACTTTTATTTACAAAGTAATTGATAGAAACCTTCCTTGGATGGCAGGAGAACAGAAGGAGTCAGGTAGTAACACTTGCTGCAGGATAGTAATGACCCTGGCTCACAACAGTCAGGATTCTCGTCATTGTAAGTTTTTTTTTATTGTTGTTTTTTGAATGTCCATTTAGTTTAATCATTGTTTAGCAGTTGCACCTGCACATTCCTCTCAATTACACTGTTTTTTTTTTTTTTGAGTTTGAATATTTACCTGCCGACTTCTGGGTTATGTTTCTCCTTTTGCAAAGCTTGGGTGAACACTTGCTTACTTCTTGGACACTGTCTTCAGCTGCTGATGGCTGAGCAGATCTTTGTTTTGGACACCCTCAGTAGAGATGTAAAGAAAGCTATCAAATACAAGACTATTAACTCTGTTCTGAAGACCCCCACTCGGGGGAGACCCTCCCTCAAGTCTCGGGATGACACAACCACACAGTAATTCTCGAAAGACACTGAAACTGGATGCAACAGCAGAGGTTTATTTGGGAGGAACAGCTGGCTGTTGGTCAATTTGTTTGCTCATGCAGGAGCTGAATTGACCCCGACAGCAGGTCTGAGGAGAGTTTTTAAAGGGGAATACCACAAACAAGGGGATGAGGAGGGGGCGAGGGGGTTGCCAAGGAACATAACATAAAAATAGCAGAACATTTCCAGAGGAACCCAACCTGTGTGGGTCAGGGTCACGTGAAAACACTCTGTACACTTATTTTTCTCAGGAATGCGGTCCTGCCCTGTCACTGTGGTCCTGCCCAGTCACTGTGGTCACCAGTTCCTTGGTTCCACCTGGCTGAATTGCATTCTTCTCTTTTTGTGGTTAGCCAGTTCCCATAACTGGCCTGTCCACATTCTTAGCCTGCTTCAGAGAAAATTTTTCATGCCTTTTAAAGAAAAACCTAAAGAAGAACCTATGCATATTTTATAAAATGATCTTTATAATTTTTCATTCTACAGTTCTAACTCTACAGGGGGGATGGGGAGCATAAACGGGAACTAAACAACCTAAAGGATCTTTAAAAAAAACTAAAGAATCTGTGTCAGATTATAGATACATAAATAACTTTTGTTTATTTTTTCTATGTTGTGGATAGCCCTGGCCTATTGTATAAGCCGAGGGTGGTGGAGCATGCTTGAGTTCCTGGCACTAGGGAGGCTGAGGTAGAAGGATCATGAGTCATTCTAATCCACATGGTGAGACTATGCTCAAACCAATCTAAGTCAAAATGAAAAAAAAAATACTGTACCATTTATTTATACAACTATAAATAAGAGAAAAAATAAACAAAAGTTACTTATATATCTATAATCCAACACAGATTCTTTAATTTTTTAAAGATCCTTTTATGTTAATAGAGTTAAGTGTCTTCTATTAGATATCTATCTTTACATCTCCACTGAACAGAGCTGAAGTTAGAAACATGGACCTGAGACTGTCAAGGCATGAGGATGTCTGACGTGCTGAGGTCCTAGTCTGAGTCTGGTCAGTCATAGCAGCAGTTTTTTCATGGTACAGTAGTCAGAGGGCCAAGCCCATCATATTAGGCCTCTGGGCCAACTAGACCTAATGTGTGGTCTCCTCCATTTCAGACTTCACAGTACCCTATAGTTAAAGCCTTGTTTCCCTTGACTAAGGACAATGGGAGATTTGGCTTGTAAGAGGAGAACAGACCACTTGGAAGTTCACCTATATCAGGCATTCTTCTGAAAGGCTGGACCTTTGAGGAAGATGGTAGTTGAATGGGGGTGGCTCACAAGCAGGTCTAGAGCCACCATGCTAAGTACTAGTACCTGCTAAGTGCTGGATGGTCTTTTCCCACTATGGGCTAGTTCTGCCCTGTGTTTGGTTCCAGAAAGTGTTGTTTTTCTCCCATGGTGACTACTATAGCCACAGTCATGGTTCAAGGACTTCTGAAGGCAGGCTCTCCTCTAGCTGTAGGTGCAATATTGAGAAGATGATGATGGCAGGGTAGGTGGCAAGGACACAAAGATCAACAGCCATGTCTGACTTAGGCAAGGAATCTGCTATGAAGTTTGGAAAGATGCAGTGGCTAAGGCCTGGGTTTGTGGGGAGAAGAGCTGAGAGACAAGGGAGGAGAAGATAAGAAGACAGGATAGTGGAGGAGAAGAACAGAACAGTGCTCATTACCATGGAGGTGAAGTCTTACTGTACACAGCCTTGCATGTTAGTTAATATTCAATAATCCACAGTGGCACACCCTGTGCCAGGAAATCAGTAGTCAAGATGGTTAATATGACAATCAATTCTTAGTTTTGCTAAGAGAGAGGCTGTGAGTTGTGAACACAGCTTGAGGTCACAGAGCTGCAGGCGGTTATTTCTTTATTGATGTGCATTACTGGGAACAATG